AAGACTGAGAATATAGAAGTTGGGTATTCTCTTCCAAATGGTGGATTGAAGCGGTTAGTCCTCTTTACACAAATGGTAGATCGAAGCGACTAGTCTTCTTTCCTCGATAATTTTGGAGCAGTTAGTCTTAAAGCTTCTAAACAAAACTTGCAAGCTTGTACCACGAGTTGAGCTCACGAATCTTAAACCTTGGTTTTACACGGGATAACCAATAGCTTGGGAGATTTTAATACAGGGCTAATATTAATCATTATCCAAGATTTTACCACTGGCTAAGCTATAACCTGATCTTGGTTTTACCACGGGCTTACCAAGAACCTAAAGAGATTTTACCACTGACTGATCTCAAACCTAAACACGGGCTTGATCACATAATCCCCACACCAAAGTTTTTTATGGGTTTAGCTTCTAGCCCATAATAAAACCTAGATTGATAATATTCAACAAAGGTATATACAAAATATTATCTTGGAGAATTTTACAATTCTACTTTTCCATAAATACAATTTTTCCTCTCACAAAAAAAAACTTTCTCGCATAAGCAGTTCAGATAAAATATTAGTGAGAGAAAGTAAAAAACGTTTTAGAGAGAGGGAAAGAGTGTGATGTGCCAAAACACATTTCTGGATTATTTGAAGTGAGTTAAGGGACCTCTATTTATAGGCTAGAGGTTGGCTCAAAAAGAAATTTAAAATAAATACTTTTTATGACAATCTAATTGATTAGTAGATCATTCCGATCGATTTGATATTCAAATATAATTGATAGTAAGTTCAAAATAGGAAAGAACAATATATCTAGCCATTGCATATAATTAAGGTTTTGTCTCAATCGCTTGGGACTCAATTTTGAACAGAGCTAATCTATTAAAACAATGTGCTAATTTATTATAGAAGTCAAAACTTTGCCTAGAGAAATTTTGACAGCTCCCTACTTATCTGGCACAACTTCAAGACATCTTTCAAGATATTTTATTGATAAAAGTAGTTTGAAAAAAAATGTTTTAGTATGTGTCTATTTTTTAGCCATGTACTTTTACGAGAGAACCCATATGTTTTACAAAGTGTTCACTCATACTAATTCAAGTAGGACTTTTTTGCACTTCAAGACATTGTTAGATGCTTCCTTTTGTATACACTTAATTTAGTTTCTTTGAGATGAGACTTTAGTTACATTCCATTTGGTTTTCATCATTGGATAGTGAAGTCTATCAAACCCTAATACTTAGGTTTTCATCTTTATCTGATTAAATATGTATGCTTGACTTGTTAGTAGACATTAGTTGTCATCATCAAAAGTTGGTGTCCTTGCTAAAAGCATATCACCGACAAAACAAGGAATTAAAAAATCTCAAATGGTTTAGATCCGGCTTGAATCCAGGCTATGCCTCTTATGATGTTATCTTCTCAAGCTACTTTGTAGGACACCTATTCAATAAATAGGTATTTGAGCATACAACCTCTCCCCACAACTCTTTCGACAAGTTCTTCCCTTTTAACATGCTTCTCACCATGTTCGTAATCGATTAATTTTTCCTCTCGGAAACTCTGGTTTGCTGAGGTGTATACGATGGTACTACCTCATACACTATCCCATTTTGATCACAAAAATTCCCAAAGTCATTTGATACATACTTGCCTCCACCAACCATTTTGAGAATTTTGAGCTTGTGACCTTTGTCGTTCAACCATGGACTTAAATTTCTTAAACACTTCAAATACCTTATCCTTTCTCTTGATTAGGTATGTTTATAGCTATCTACTATAATCATTGATAAAAGTTACAAAGTACATATTGCCACCACATAAATCAACTTCCATCAGCCCACACACATCAAAATACACCACCTAAAGGTGATGCTTGGTTCTACAACCTAGATCCTTGCAGAAATTACCCCTGTATTACTTCACTTGCACACACTGTTCACAAATCTCAATTGGTATTTTGATGGATGGAAACCTGGTTACCATTACGTTCCTTTGCAATGCATTGAGATATCGAAAATCGAGTGCCTAAGGAGGTAGTACCACAACCACTCTTCTCAACTTTCAGATGTAGCAAGATGCCTATGTTCCATCACCTTCAACTTAATATTGAAAGTTCTATTGACATCCACATGAGCTTTAAGGATCAAAACCATGTTACCATCCATAACGCACAAAGCCTTATCTTCCATGCGAATATTATAACCCTTCTCAAGCAATTGGCCAATACTTAGAAGGTTACATTTGATTCCAGAAATGTACAATACACCTTTGATCAAGGAATATCCACCATCCCTTATCATGATCAAAACATCACCAATCCTATCGGTCGTTAAAGTTATGTTATCTGCAAATTTCACTTTATTCTTTGTGCCTTAATTGATTTTGAGAAACCAATTTTTCCTACCAGTCACATGTGCAGAACATCCAGAATCCAAGTACCATTCTTTGTTGTATTGGTCTTCTTCTCTCATAGTCACCATAACATTTTCTTCCACAAATGTTTCTGCAGCGTTCTCAGAACTGTTGTTGTTGTTTCCCTACAACTTACTACTCTTTGATTCATCTTCCATGATCATAACCAAGAGTGTATTATCATCATCCACCTCTTCTCTAGAAACCTTGACTTCATCTTCTTGTGATTCCCTCTGTTTCACATTGCATTCTCATGCGAAATAACCAAACTTTTGACAATTGTATCATTGTGTCTTACTCTTGTCATACTTCTTGACTTAACCTCTAAAGTTGTTTTGACTACCATATTTGTTGCAACTGCTCTCACCCTTTTGATAAGTCGAATTCTTCAAATTTTGAGACTATTTTCCTCCAAAATTGTTAAAATTCCCTTTACTCTTCATGGGCCATTTTTCTATCGACTTCTTATTCTTCTCATTGAATCGCGCTTGCAAAGCGATCTCCTCATTTACCTTATCGTTACTTCTCTCTTCCATCTTTTGTTTATGAGCCTAAATAGAGCTTTAAAGCTCCTCTTTGCTCAATGTCAGAAGATCCTTTGACTCTTCAATCGCCACTATAATATTATTAAATCTTACAGTCAAAGAACACAAGATCTTCGACACAATATTCTGCTCAAAAAAAGTCTCTCCACATGACTTAATTTGGTTTACCAATCGCGTAATTCATGTCACATAATCGTTGATTGTCTCCTTCTCTTCCATTTGAATCAGTTCAAATTGATGTTTGTGAGTTTGTAACCTCGTCACATTTTCCTTATCATCCCCTACATAAGCCTTTTTCAAGATTTCTCAAGCTTGTTTTGATGATTCGCAATCACCAACTTTCTCAAAGTTGTCACCATCTACACATTGATGGATAAAAAATAACACCTTGTAATCTTTCTTCTTTTTTCCTTGTACGCAGCCTTTTGTGCATCCCTTGATCCTTTGTAAATAGGAATCATTCCATTCTTAATCACTCCAATAACTTTTTGGTAGCCAAACAACACCTTCATTGACTTGCACCATTTATCGTAGTTCTTTGCTTCAAGGAGATGGAGATTTGTAGGGACTCTATCATTGGAGACGATATTCATGTTGCACAACAGATGTTTATGAATCTGAACCAGACTCTTGATGTCAAATGTTGGAACATTCACACGATTGGTGAACAATAGAGGTTTAAGGGTATCTTGAGAAGAAGATAGTGAGGGATAAGAGAGAATTAGAGAGAGAGAGAGAGAGAGAGAGAGAGAGAGAGAGAGAGAGAGAGAGAGAGAGAGAGAGAGAGAGAGAGAGAGAGAGAGAGAGAGAGAGAGAGAGAGAGAGAGAGAGAGAGAGAGAGAGAGAATTAAGGATGATAATGAACAATTTCATTAACAAATGATGAGGATGCCTCCAAGGCATTTATACAATTGTTACAATATGATTGGAACCTAAAACACATCATCTAATTACAAGAAAAAATTAAAACTCGGGCCCGTAATCGGTTAACACAAACTTTAACCAAATACACAGACAAAAACAAAAAGTATACAATGTCAGGTGTAACCAATTAACGCGTTTGATTAATTGGTTAACACAATTCAAAAATTGCTTTTTCAATGCCAATGAATATTATATCCCATATTAACTGGCCAGATTTTTCTATAGACAACAACAATTAGATGCTCCGAAACCACAACATAAATATGAAAGTATTGATATAGAAACTAGACAAAGAGATTTTAGCAACAAGTGAATCTTCAATTCAGCTTTAGTTTGCATTCGTTTACATACAAACTAGAGGCAAAGATCTTAAAAAGAAAAAATTAATAGATTTTTTTAAAATAAAGTACTAAAATGTTTAATTCTCAAAGAGAAAAAAAAATGTATTTAAACCAATAAATATTAACATAGATAAAATAATAGTGTGTGATGTAAAGTTGGAATAAAAATTTAATGAATAGTTTCAAAATGATCCAATTTAGTAAAACCCAAATGAGTTGCATCATTAAAAATGCCTTATTATATTCTGTCGTTAGGACAACCAAGTAGTTACCTCAATAGAAACCAAAATTATTAAACCCACTTTAATTATATAAGCAGTGATGATAATGGTGACAGGGAGAGAGAGTGAGTGAGTAAGGGGTATGGTATGCTATGTATGATAGGGTCAGTCATTAGTTTTTGTTTATGAAAACGACAATACTTGTTCCGTTATGTAGCAAATTAACAATAACAATAAACAACAAGAGCCTCTTAAATCTTGTTTTGTTTTTGTATTTCGTAAAGAAAGATATCAATATGTCTGTCCCTTGCTTTGCTATGCAATGTGCATCACCCATCACATAGGTGTGTCTGTCTTTCCTGTCATTTTTGAGAGAGACAGCCTGTGACCATGCAACTGTAACACATCAATCTCACACGTGTGACCAATTCTCTTTTTCCTTTATTATTTAAATTATCATAAAATACGACACATAACTACTTCAATCTCTCTCTCTCAAATAAGTTCTTGTTCCTTCTCATCTACAATAAAACTGCTTTTTCCACTTTCTTCTTCTTCTTACCCTTTAAGATGAAAGCAACTAGTGTTACAGATAACACTAATGTCCCAACTCATTACCAAACTTCTTATTCCTCTCCTTCTATGGGAACTGTCTATGCAAATATGGATTCTCTATCACTTAACTATGCTTCTTCTTCTTCATCTCAAGACTGCTATGTCTCTAAGGAGGGTACTGCTACTAACTGGTCTTTACCACTTATGAGAGAATGTTATCTTACAAGAAACTTTGAAGAAAACAACAATATTCATGATGTTGAGGAAAGCAATGGTAATGGTTCTGGTGATGGAGTTGAAGAAAGCAGTGACAAAATTGACCTTAATGAAGACATCAACACTAACGAGAATAATAGTGGACACTCTATACTATGTGCAAGAGGTCATTGGAGACCTGCAGAAGATTGTAAGCTCAAAGAACTTGTTGCTCTTTATGGTCCTCAGAACTGGAACCTCATTGCTGAAAAGCTACAAGGAAGATCAGGTTTGTGAACGAAACTTGTGTAAAAAAAAAGTATCATTTTTTGTATATATCTAGCAAAATCTCTTGCTTTCTTTTCTCGTTTAAACAAATTTTATTTCTTTCCTCTTTTTGCTGTGTCCTTTTTCTTGGGTCATTTTCTTTTGTTGAGATTTTCTCTTTTTGTATTTAAAGGTAAGAGTTGTAGGCTTAGATGGTTCAACCAGTTAGATCCAAGAATAAACAGAAGATCATTTAGTGAAGAAGAGGAAGAAAGACTAATGCAAACTCATAGGATTTATGGAAACAAATGGGCTATGATTGCAAGGCTTTTCCCAGGAAGAACTGATAATGCAGTTAAGAATCACTGGCATGTTATAATGGCCAGAAAGTATAGAGAACAATCAAGTGCTTACAGGAGAAGGAGGTTGGATGAATCAGTTTATAGAAGATTAGAAGATAATACAAACTTTGTCTCAAGAAGAGATATAGCCACAGGGATGGATCCAGTTTCATCATCCTGTTGTGCTATTAACTTCCCAAATGTTTATAATATGACTAGTTTTTCATATCCATCTTTTCACGGTGGTTTTAGAAATGAGTGTTTTAGCCCAATGAGTTTCTACCATAATCATCCCCAACATATGATGTCAATGCAACAGCACCAACAAAACAAGAATCACAATAATAGTAATATTTACAGTTTCTCATCAAATTCAACCACATCAGCAACAAGAGCACAGTTATTGAACAGTGAAGTTTCGCTAACATCCGTGGCAGCAGAAGACAGAAATGAAGTTCTGATGAGAAATCGCCCTCCATCAGATGCAATACCATTTATTGATTTCCTCGGAGTAGGAGCCACGTGATCAAAGTTATGACCCAATCAAAAAGCTGCAACATTTTTCCATTGAAACTCCTCAATATAGGTGTGGTCCAATATTACAAGGAAAACATTAGAGGTAAACAGAAAGGATAGTTGCTTCTCTTTGGTCAATGTATTACTTGTGTCACTTCTGTTCATATGACCTATAGCTCTTCTCATTTTCTCTCTTATTCACATGGGGACCCCTATCCAAACTATTAAAATTCATAATATATCAATTCTATTAATACTACTATAAACTTTCTCTATTCACTAAGAACATACAAATGAAAGAAATTTGATTAAACTTTCTCTATTAATCATTTTGTTCAGAAATTTGATTAAGTTTGATTTATACTTTACGTGTTAAAGAAAATACAGTGAAAGAAATCAATTTTAAACCTAACATGTACTTAGGCTTTGATTAAGAAAAGCCTTTAGAAGAGAAAATAAGAGATTTCTTCACTATGTTCTGGGTTCAAATTCGGTTTTTGCAACATTATTAAATTTTTTAAAGAGACCTTATGAGTTTTATATTGGTTAATATATAATCTAACATGTATTTATAAGTGGAAAAAATCTTTACCTTACACACCGATTTTATAAGGTTTAGTTAGATCCGTCAGATAATCTATCACCCATCTTTTATTTTTATGTTCTAAATATTCAGTCTTGGACGTGAGAGAGTGTATTAAGAGTATCATATTACATCAAATCATATAAGTGAGTGCTATCATCATGCTTAATAGTACAAAAAAGGGTTAGACCTCGGATGTGAAAGGAGTTTAATCTCGGTTACATAGGCGTGGTAACGAATGACAAAATGAAAAGTTACCACTTAAACCTTTGATTATTGTAAAACTGAGAGATAAAGTGTTCTTCACACGGGTTCGATCTAAAACAATAACTTTTTTATATATTTTAAAACTAATACAACGTACATCTCGGTTTATGACAAAAACCTAGAAAAAAGATAATTTTTTAAATATTCATTATATTGATTACACAGAATATTAATAAATTAATTTGTTTACAAACTATAATGTTTACACATAATAATATATTGTTTACAATGAATATTAAAGTAAAAATATATAACAAATTTTGAATCTATTTTATCGTCACCAATATTAGTGAAGATTAGATGCTGGATCTTGGGGAAGAACAAATGTTGGATCCTCGTTTCATTAAAATCTTGGGGAAGATCAAATGTTGGATGCAATATATTCTCGATGATTTTGCATTCATTTGTTTATGATATAAAACAAAAAAGAATTAGATAAATAAAATAAATGTTCAGTTATATGATTATTTAAGAACACAAACCTTGAAGTCAAATGATTTTCTGCTCTTGCAATCCATCTTAGAGAACTTTACCAAGATTATTTATGTTTCAAAGTTTTCATGTCAAATGTTTCGTTGTTTATTTTTGATATTCAAAATGTTTTTATAATGTAGCATGAGCCTTCCGAATGCATGTCTTTTATGTTTCACGTGGATCACTAATGACAGTGTCTTGAGCATTGGTACTCATTAAATGGACGACAAAAATGTGTTTAAGAACGGTGAAAAACTCAATAAACACACTTATTTATTGCTTCGGTTATGAGTCAAAATCGAGGTAAAATGTGTTTCATTTTAAATAAACAAAATACAAAGATATATGTTTCATCCCAAGCACCTCATTCCTCTCGGTTTCTGTTAAAAATGGAAAGTAATAAAACTATTTTTTAAATTACATTATTTACACATAATATTAAAATATATTATTTTCACAAAATATTAAAATACATTGTTTACAACAAATTCAGATTCACTACTAAAAAAATGACATTTGAGAAAAGGTTTTTACATCAGGTATAAAAATATACGATGTAAAAAATAAAATTAAAAATATTTTACATCAGGTATTTATTTGCAATGATATAAACAATGTGGAAAACAAAATTTTTCGCTATCTATTACATCGGGCCATTTAATCCACTGATGTAAAAGGTTTCGTAAAAAAAATACGGTGGCAGTTTTGTAAATAACAAACTAGGTGGCAGAATTGTAAATAAAAAACACGTTAGCTATTACATCGGTTCCTGCAATCCACCGATGTAAAAAAGAGGGTGGCAGATTGGTAATATAAAAACACGTTAACCCTTACATCGGTTATTGAAATCCACCGATGTAAAAAACCTGAGAACCCTCACACCGGTCCTTTCGATAAACCGGTGTAAAAAACCTCAAAATGTAACTATTACATCGGGCCAATTAATGCACCGATGTAAAAAAGATAAGCGGCAAGTAACCCTTACATCGGTTTATATGTCCACCGATGTAAAAACTAATATATATTTGAGAAATAAACACAGACTGTGCTTTATTTCGTTATTGTTCGTCCGTCTCTGCCCGTATCCTTACAACCCTCGCTGCTACTCCGTCCGTCTCCGCCCGTCTCCGCCCGTCTCCGCCTACGAAAGCATCCGCCTACGAACGCTGTCCGCCCTCCCTCCGCCGTCTCCTCGCAGATCCTCCGCCTACGAACGCTGCCCTGCCGTCACAGGCCGCTGAATCTCCAGCCATCACATTTGCCGACTGCACGAAGACTGAGGCGCTTCTCTAGCCGTCACACTGCCGCCGTCTTCGAAACCTCCTCCGTCGTCCAACTACGATTCCGATACAAAATTTTCTATTTTGTTCAACTTCATTGTATATCTATGGATTTTTAAGAGTTATATATACAAAAAAGTTTTTAAGATATTCTTGTTTCTTTGCTTGCTACTGAGATTCATTATAAAAAATTAGAAGTACATAGAAAAATAATTAGAAGATTATACTATGAATCCATTACTTTGTTCATATCTGTTTTTTAATTACTAAACAGTTTATTATTATTAGAGAGGTTAATTAAGTCTAATTAGTTATAAATAGTATATATTTTGTATAAAGTTAAGAATATAGTACATGTTGTGTATAATTAGTCATTCTTTTTCATTAGAGAAATTGTCTACTTAGAAACCTCCGAAAAAAACGTTAATGGTCCTCTCAAAAACACACAGTTTATATTTAACCTATCAAACTTAATAGAGTTATCACCTTGCCATTGAAATTTGATTCTATTTTTCTTTCTCCGCGAAGCAGCGCAACTTGCAATCTTGGAATCTCCGTGAAGTAGCGCAGCCGCGGGCACACCCTTCGTCAGACCTTCCTCCGTGTGAACATAGTTATGGATCGTAGTTGGATGAGAGCTAATCAATTAAGTAACGAGTACGAACATGGAGTGATGGAATTTCTACAGTTTGCTGAAAGTAATGCTAAAAAAAGTCTTCCTACGCTTTTTCTCTGTCCATGTGTTCGTTGTGCAAATAAAGAACCAAAACGTAGTAAGAAAGAAATCATGGATCATCTAATTTGTGTAGGGATTTGTCAAAGTTATACAGATGGATATGGCACGATGAAGTAGTAGCAAAGTCAAATGTGTCTCAAAGAGATGATGTTAGTGTAGAAATGGATGATCGTCTAGAAGACATGATGTGTGATATTGGACAAGATTCGTTTAAGAGGGCACATACGTATGATACTATATGCAGTGACAAGGATAAACCATTGTACCCGAGATGCAAAAAATTTACACGTTTATCATCCGTATTAAAATTATTTAATCTGAAGGAAAAGAATGGGTGGACTGACAAAAGTTTTACCGAGTTGCTTGAATTGTTGAGCGAAATGCTTCCAGAAGGTAATGTAATGCCAAGTCCTTATTACGAGGCGAAGAAAATATTGTGTCGGATGGGTTTGGAGTATGAAAAGATACATGCATGCCCTAATGATTGCATATTATACAGAAAAGAGTATGCAAACTATAATCATTGTCCGAAGTGCGAGGCGTCACGCTACAAAAAGAAAGATGGTGAATCAATTGATGATGAGGTGGTCAAAAAGGGTCCTCCTGCGAAAGTGGTATGGTACCTACCAATAATTTCAAGGTTCAAGAGATTATTCTCCAATGCAGATAACGCAAAGAATCTTAGATGGAATGCAGAAGAAAGAAAATATGATGGACAAATTCGTCATGTAGCTGATTCTTTGCAATGGAAGAAAATAGATTCTTTGTTTCTAAATTTTGGCAAAGAGTCGAGAAACCTTAGACTTGGACTTGCTACTGATGGAATGAATCAGTTTGGTAATCTGAGTACTAACCATAATTCTTGGCCTATTCTCCTGATGATTTACAATCTATTTCCTAGGTTGTGCATGAAGCGTAAATATATTATGTTATCGATGATGATATCGGGCCCAAAACAACCAGGAAATGACATAGACGCTTATCTAAGTCCACTGATTGATGATTTAAGAGTGTTGTGGGAGGAAGGGGTGGATGTTTTTGAAGCATATTCTGGCGAACAGTTCAATATTCGTGCCATGTTGTTTTGCACCATTAACAATTTTCCGGCATATGGTAATTTGTCTGGGTATAAAGTTAAAGGGCATAAGGCGTGTCCTATATGTGAAAAAGACACATGTTACCATCAGCTTGAAAAAGGAAAGAAGACCGTTTATCTCGGGCATCGAAAATTTCTAAAACGTTATCATCCATATCGTAGATTGCGGAAAGCTTTCAATAGGGAACAAGAGCATGGTGTTGCTCCAAAGTCGTTGTCTGGAGAGGAAGTTTATCAGCAACAACAGGGACTTGATGTTGTCTTTGGAAAGCACCAAAAACGATCTACTGTGAAAAATGTATGGAAAAAGAGATCGATTTTCTTCGATCTTTCATATTGGTCTAGTCTTGATGTAAGACATTGTATTGATGTGATGCACGTGGAGAAAAATGTATGCGATAGTGTAATTGGAACACTTCTCAACATTCAAGGTAAGACAAAAGATGGTATTAATTCTCGTCTGAATTTGGGTTTGATGGGTATACGAGAAGAGTTAACTCCATAATATATAGGTAACAAGACATATTTTCCTCCTGCCTGCTATACTTTGTCTAAAAAAGAGAAAACAAGTTTT